TCACGTGATTGGAGAGTTAATTCCCATGATCCTGTCGACATAGCTGTCCGCTATTTGAGACCCGGAAGATGTGTATTCGCCAGAGAGCTGTTGGCAAGATAATCTGTTATGTACCCGGTCTGTTTCGGCCCCTCCTTTTGAGGCACGACAAGTAGATCCGATGAAACTGTGCCTGCCTTCATCAAGGGATGTAACGAAATGATCATTTATGTGTGATAACCTCCCAGCGGAACGGTTTCTCCACTCTGCTTATCCTACCCCGTTGGCTATGCCTGTTGCAATATGCGCTCGGGCGAATCAGGACCCCGTTGATGGTCAGCTGATAACCTCTGACGGATAGCTCAAAGCACGTGACTAAGGGAATAACAAGAAGTGTAGATCGTTTGTGCGTATGTGTGTGTGTGTGTGTGCACACATCAGGAGACAGTTAGGACACATCTACCACTGAGGTTCGAATTGTCACGTTTTCTATCTTCACCAGAGACCGCTTTTTCGATCGCCATTTGAACAACCATGCTGTTCAGAAAAGATTAGTCTCCCCCCCTCCCGCGCCTTCATCAAAGAGATGAACTGGGACTTGGATGTGGTCCAGTACGATGAGGTATTTGAAACCGTTCTGGAAATAAAAAAATAATAAATGAAAAATGAAAGATTTCACAACACGACTGGAAAAAGAACCGGTCTAAAAATTGGTGAGCACTGTGGAAGTAAAGTAGGACAAGGTTTAACAATTCCGTACACCAATTTTACACAGCGACTCTGGATGATTTCAGTGGCACGTGAACGCGGAACACTGTGGATCCACTCGCAGGGCAGAAGTGCCAAATATGGCCCAAGTGGAATTTCACAACACTAATTTATGTGAACAAATATACACGCATTCAATTAATAAACCAAATGAATCAAAACACTGACAATGAAAAATCGAAGGATGATGATTTGCATGACAATGGCGATGACGACGATGATCATGACGATGAGGATCAAGAATTTGATGATGAATCGACTGACGATGATGAGGCTGATGACGATCATGATGATGATGATCATGAAGATGAAGATGATGATCATAAAGAGAATGAAGATGATGATTCGGGAGATGATGCAGATGCTAATGACTGGGATGACGATGATGATGATAATGATGACTCGGATGATTTGATTAGATAAATCAAAAACATGGGTTTGCACAATTCATCCCTGATCATTTCGCTGCATCGGTGCACGGCAGTTAAAGTGATGTTTTTTATAGTCAGTGGGATAATAGATGTGAGACGAAGACAAAATCACTAATCACAACAGACAACACAACACAACACGAAAAGGGGGTCACCTATAAGAAAGGCTTGAAGAAGACATCTCAAAACTTGATCGAAACTATCGTTATATTGATGAAAACTTTGTCATAAGCAACATTAAGGAAGACGGAGAGAACCTATCTCATCGGCTCAACACAATTCACCCCAGCATCCAGTATACTCGTCATGATGAACGGGATGACCGCATCGAGTTTCTAGATATAAATATCAATCGTCGACCAGATGGATCAATTAAAAGATATGTATTCCAAAAGAACACGTGGTTTGGGCAATACTTCCATTTCACGAGCTTCTCTGCTATACGATACGCACACTCTGTCATCGAGCTCGTGAATTATGCACAGAGGACTGTTTAAACGATGAAAGCGGCGTCTTAAATGAAGCGCTACACGCAAGCGGATATCTAGGCTCATTCATCACCAAACCTGGTAAAGCAATACCAGAAGTAGACAACCCAATAACTGTCCTCAGAAGGAAAACTTTTCCGAAGCTAGTATACAAAGGCAATGACGAGAGTGAACTAGTTAGCAAGCGTTTGAGCCCTGCCGTCAAGAAAGCCTATTACGCAGTTAACCCAGTCTTTGTCTTCATTATCACCCGGATACCAAATTGTATTTACCAAGACAAGTGTGGATCCTCGGCTATCTACATAGGCAGGACAGAGAAGCAGTTACATTACCGAATGGCCGAACACATCCTAGTGTGGCGTAAGAAAGCAGTGGACGACAAGTTCAAAACTGTTACGTCATCGAATGAGCAGAAAAGACTAAGATCTTCAGTAACACAACACTTATTCGAACAAAAGTACTGTGCCACTCTCCACCCCACGCATTCCAGGTCACCTACAAAAGAAACAAACACAAAGTTACTGAAATTTGCCGAGGCTCTAACCATTCATACTCTCAAACCTGATCTATGCAAACAATATGAATGGTTAATCACTTTAGTTCTGCCCTGGTGATTGACCTACCCCTACCCTCTCTAATCTCGCGTCCCCCTCATCCCCGAATATTTTTTATTCTTGTGTCATGTTTTCCGTTGTGATTAGCTAGCAATCATGTCTTCATTTCACGGTATTTATCTCACTGACTATAAAAAGATCACCTTAACTGACGTATGCACATGTACAGATGCAGCGAAATGATCAGGGATGAATTGTGCAAACCCGGTTGTGTTCTGACAACTCTGTTCAAATTTGTGTTTGTTTTTTTTTTCAGATTCGGATGATGATAATCACAATTAGGTTTGTTGGATAGCAGTTTTTTTCTATGAAACTATCAGAATGGATTGCCAGACCTCCGAATCCCCCCCCCCGCCACCCCCGGGAATGGAATATGTCCGCCTGAACTCGGTCTGGAATCTGGGTGTATCGGTCT